AAGTGTGTGTAGAAAAAGACTTTTGTTTGCATGAACATTGATAAAAATTATGTTTTTCACTGTGTTTTTCAACCTAGTGAATGAAAACTGACCATTTTTATCTGCGGCTGGTTTTTCACTTTTTCACAAATTTTTTTCAGCGTTGCCAATGTTATTCCAAAGTAAGAAGAACTCTGGAATGTAACGGAGTTTTTGTTTCATTCAGGGCTGTTGTTTCATCAGACCAATTTCGATGATCAAGATGAAACTTTTTTCGACACATCAGATTTAGACACTACGAAATTTGAACCGGGACTTTTTTTTTCCACATGCAGTTAGTTTGTGTAAGATTTTATTGGGTTGCAAAATCTCTTCATCAAAAATCACGAAATCTTGAAATTTATATAATCGATTAATTTGAGCTATGAACTTGAACAAAAAAAACAAAACTTGAAACTTCAAAGGCGTTTTTTTTTCAAATTGGGTTGCCGTTAGACCACAAGGAACCAAAAGCGATAAATCCAAAATATTTTTAAACAAAAAACTCTCATGAAGCAAAATCAGGAACAAAAATATCACCTAAAACGGGTCCTTTATTTTGGATGAATATTTTTGATCAAAAATTTTACAGAGCTCCTGGTCCAATCTGTCAAAATGACTTGGGTCAAAATAATTTGGATCAAAATGACCCTCCTATATCGCTTGCGAAAATTTTTTTTGTTCATGTCAAAAATAACCTTGTTTTAAATAAATTTTCCTTGTTTTGAGTAGGAAACCTGCTGTTTGACCGTTAGACAAAAAGTGTACAGCTAGCACGAATTTTAAGAGGTGAAATTTGGCTTAGTTTTTTGTACTGAGAAGCTTGAAATTTTGGTTTCAACTTTTTGAACTAAACCACAGCAGTTTTTTTGTGTAAAAATTCGGACAAGTTTTTGTCAAAAGTTCCGTTTGAGACCAACGTGTACAGTTACTCGTTTTTCATGTGTTTTTTTCTGGATGATTAAAAACAGCAATGCATATCTTATTAAAATAAGAATGTAAGACGATGTTACAAACCTGAATTGCTTCCATGGAATCTAATAGCTTATAAGTTCAATTGTTTTCATGAAACCTCGAATAACTTTTCTACTTATAAGCCTAATTGTTGAGTTATACTTGTTAAATAGAAATGGACTATCATCAAGTTGAAGTTTTCGAAGTGCAAGAAATGAAAGAAGTTATCAGCTCAAACCCCAAAAAAAGGATATTCCCGACTCGATAAAGAAACTACAAAACCGCATTGAAATCCAACAAACAAAAATTCAAATGCTGGAAGAGAAGCAAAATAGCACAGTGTCAAAAACAGTTGATAATACGATCAATTTTCACAAATTTTCCGATTAAAGCGTAGAGTTAGAGCAATACGCACGGAAGCTGTACTTGATGTTTGTGGACTTAGAATCTGTGGACCAAACCTTCTAGCTGATGCCATTCCTTGAGTAGTAACCCCTAAACCACCTAATACTGTTAAAATTGTTTTCATGAGTACAGGGATTTTATATGGAGACAAAAACTCAATCATTGTTGGAGAATAGAAGCACCAGGTGATAGACAGATAAAAATGCAAGCAACGCCTCTAGGATTTCAAGTCTACTACCAGAAACCATTCTTAGGTCGGGAAACACGTTAGCCTTTCTAATGATGCGAAGAAAACAAAAACTCCAGATGAAATCAGTCCGTGCATGACTAAAACTGCCATAGAACTACCTCATCAGTCAATTGCTGGGAAAAAAAGACAACGGCGACAAGGCAATGAATATCAGAAGCTGGACGGGCAGTCTAGAGACACTGAAACATCCGTCCTTGCAGTGAAAACGAGGCACTATAAAAAATCTTCTAGTAGATGAAAAAAAAAAGAAGATCAGCAGAAAAATTAACAGAGAGCATCAACAGAAGGTTTGCACCAGCAATCATCCGCTCTGTACAACCAGGAGAACAAGTACTCTCCAACCACCAAAAACCCTGTTGTCAAAGTGGAATCCTTTCAATAAAAACTATCAGAGTGTTAGTGTCTTAAGTCTCCACCTCAAAATTTATCAGAGTGTTAGTGTCTTAAGTCTCCACCTCAAAATTTTTGTCTGTCTAAGACATGGCAAAAAATCGAAATGGAGTTTATAAGGATTTCAAATCAAAATTACGTGACTACAGAAGGGGGTTTGATGATACAAACACTTAAAGTATATTGCATTATGAAGAATACTTCTATGTCAATGGACGACGCATTGTCTGACTAAAAGAAGTTTGAGCTTGAATTTAATCCTTTTTTAAAATTAACCAAAAAAAATGCAATTTCCTGAAAATTTGGATAATCAATTGGAAAATTTTTCGTGAGAAATAAAACCGAACAGTTTGTGTAGAAATTATAAAACTGACTTGTGAAAACAAGATCTCCCAACAAATAATTACAATAATACAGTCAAATTGAAGCAGTTTGAACTGTTAATAGCTCCGACAGGCAGAACTGATCACACATGGCTACATGTATTGACAGTTTTGCAATCACAAGTTAAGATAATGCACTTGCAAAAAAATTATGCACACTTCAGCTGTTCATATCCAACCAATTTTTTTTAAAATGTATTTGACAGCCCATTTGAATGTTTAGAGATTATAGCTTCTCCTCCAAAATATTTCAATCAAAATGTGGAACAAATTTTTTTGCTACACCACAATTTGAGCTTGCTAGTTGTATCCGACAATTCAACTGCTTAATTCAACGATTTTGAAACATAATTTTCTTAGAAGCAGCTAACCTTCATGGTCCAGATAAACAGAAGAGGGATCAGCTATTAAATTGTTTAATAACCGCAAACACTTTTCAAATTGAACGAAATCAGGCGCACAGACAGTGAATGAATGATAAGGCGAACCAAAAGAAAGTAAATAAGTTCAAATTAAGGCCCTGTTAAGTTGAAAAAGAGATATTGATAGCTGAGAAACAACTTTATTGGAAAAACTTTAAGAATATATCAAGACTCAAGACAGACGTATAAGTTCTTAAATGATCTAAAAGATGGCTAATTCGAGTGCAAAATTGTTTCTGCTGTAATGTGCGCTGAGTTTAGCAATTTTTTTTGAAGCAAGACAGCAGAAACTTTTTATAATTTTTTAACCAAATTACGTTTCAATCATCACAAAAAATCGGAAACCGTTAGACCCTATCCTTTCTGAATTGCAGTGTTTTTCGTTCTATTTGCATGAAATTTTTGTAATTGAAACCTCAAATTGCATATGTGTTTCATCAAACAAAAATCAGCTGCTGGTGATAACATTTGCAATCGCTTGAATAAGGCTCAAAGAATTTCATTTCACCAGTTCTCGCAAAATTATGCAACCTGTCTTTTGCAAAAAGTATATTTTCTTAAAGAACTCTCAAACCAAAAAAGCTCCAACTTCCTTAAATTTACGTGACAAATGAATGTAAATAATAGTTATTGAGTTCTCTGATTTAGGTTTTCGAATGCCTAATGTACAAAAAAAATCACATTGTTCGGTCGATAAATAATTTGGGTTTTCTTTAAAGCATAGCACAATTGAAGCTCTTGCCAAAATAACCAAAAAGCTGGAGCGTGAGTAAAAATCTAAAACTTATATTTTATAATCTTGCTTTCAAAAGAGCGTTTGTTACCATAGATCATCACAAAATCTTGAAAACTAGCTTTTAACAGAATACGTGGTTTTATCTTCGATGGTTTGAGAGTTTCTCTGTTATTCTGATAATTGTGGAGTATCACATGGTTCAGATTAGGAATTCTTTTATTTCTGATTTATTTCGTTATTTATTTCTTAACGATTTGCCGTGTGCCTGCAAAGTTGCAGAAGTGTTTTTTTTTGCAGACGATACGAATATCAGCTGCGGATCTAGTTTTTCTAATATCAATACTGCTCACGATGATCTCAATATTCGGTTAGCTGCTTATCTGAAATAAACTAGCTTTAGATCTCGATAGAACAATTCAACTTACTAGAGGGTGCTGAGAATCTCGTATTTTTGAAATGGTCGGTGTTCCTCTTAAGCTTTAGCCCAACTGGAAGTACTAAAGAAATTATATTGACGCAAACTTGACCTTCTAAGCACAATTTCAACTTGTTACCAAAAAGCTGGCTGACTGGGTAATGTAGTTTTGTATGTAAATTACGACACTATTTTTTTGCGAGATCAGTTGATTAAATATTTTTTTGCGAGATCAGTTGATCAAACCACAAAACCATTTTGCTGCACAGCTCTTCAACCATTGATCACATTTCAGAATAAAATTGAAAATGGTTTATTTCCTCAAGCAAAACAATTCTTCGGAAGATAGTTTTACTGAACAAAGAAAGGGCGCAAGCTAATTTCAGTAGGATAAAGCTTGAGCTTTAATTTAAGCCTTGGAAATTTGGTTTTACACAAATGAAATTAATTTTTGAAGTTTTTTAGCATTGTTTTGCTAACCTGACTGCAAAAATTCTGCAGAAAAATTGGAAAACATTTTCAAATCATTTCGACCACACCACGTGTAAAAAAAATCACTAAATTGAAAAAACTGTTTGGGTGTTTTTCGTAAGAAAAAGGTTGGAACATTCTGTGTTACTTTTACAGCAGCGCTATCCTTGTTCATTTGCTTAATTGAGTTTTGTTTTTTTAACCTTTGAATTTAGAAGCAAGACTCAAAATAATTGGCGTCTGATAGAAATCTTTAACAAGGTTTTGAAGTTTAATTTCATGTAGCATCTTCTCTGAACAATTTTTCATTAGTTTTGAAATTTTCTGCATCAATTTTTTTCAAATGTTCTTGCACAATGTTTTGTATGACCAAAGAAGAAAAAGCCGGCTACTTTGACTTTGCCGATATAATAATTAAATCAATACAATATCTTCAAATTGAAAAAAATCTTTAAATTTGCTCTCTGAAATTTGTTTTTGGCACTATTGAAAAGGATCATTAAAAAAACAAACAATAGATAAGAATCAGCATGTTCAAACTGATACAACGCTTTTTGAAAACCAAATGCCATAAAACAAAAAAGAAAATGAATCGCGCACATGAACCATTACTATTTAAAAAGCGCGTCAAACCATAGTCTTACAGAATAACATCAGCTAAACTCGCTGTTCGGAATTACTTTTGCTAAAACCAAACTTAAAATGTCTGAAAAACAGAGGAAGAAACACTCTCCCACTCATCACGACAATAAGAGTTCAGTGGACTACATGTTCGAGGAGCCGAATGAAGAGATGTACAAGAAAGCGTTCAAGGCGTTCGACCGGGACGGGGACGGGAAGATAGACGCCAGCGAGATACAGGCATGCAATTAACCAGCAGTTATAATAATTACAACCAGGCTTTTTTCACTCAAAAATTTCCTGTTAACATTAAGTTCTCTAACTTGTTTTTCAATTTCAAAATGTTTTTCTCTAACTTTTTTTCTGTAATTTAGAGATTCAGGAAGTCTTCTGATATATTTCCGAATCAGATCGACGCTTAAAAAATGTTTTAATCTGATGCTCATAGGGTTGAGTGGGTAAAATGTAGCACAAAGTAAGTTCTTCTCGCTGATTTTTGACACGCTGAAAAAAAAAAACAATTGAATAAGAGAAAAATTGATCAACTTTTGGGATGAGAGATCTATTCAAAACGGAACTCTTTTAAATTGAAAAATGGTGTAAAAAAAGGTGTAAATTATTGTAAAATTATTGACTAAAACTTTAGAAGCTGGTTTCGAAGATTGTTGGTTGTTAAATGGAAAGTGTCAGCACTCGGTACATTTCAAAAGCTACAGATCATGCTGAGCGCTTATAAGAGTTAAACTTATACGGCCGTCGCGATTTTTTTGAATCATATCGACGGCTGAAAAAAATTCATAATGATACTCAAGGGTTCGAGCCCTTAACCACTGAAAAACCCCCTTTGTACTATTTAACGGCATTAATTTTGGCTAAACTGTCCTAAATTTTTTTCCAAATCGCCTTTGGTGCCAATTTTTACTAATTTTGAGGAGGAAAAGCGTGCGCCAGAAACTCGCAACTTTTGGTCAAAACAAAACATTCAAAAAGTGCCTAAAACTGTCGTTTTTGACCTATTTCTATTGAAAATTTGCCTCGATATTTTTGGGAGTTCGGGAACTCAATTTGGCCAACCTAGATTAAATAAAAAAAATTTCGTTTATTTTTGAAAATATTCCCGCTCGAGAAAATCCTAGATCAGCGCCTGATTTACGATTTAAATATATTGAAAGTATTAACAAGCCTTACCGGGCGCCATCGACTATCAGCGATTCAAAAAAAACTAAGAAGCTCAAAATACTTTTTATCAGTTGATATCTATCGTTGTATATCTGCTTGAGTTTATAATAGGCAGTCGAGAAGGTACTGGGCCAGAACCCCTCCAACTCGGACGTGAAAAGATTTATCCGGAGGACAGACAGGGACTCGGACGGCGGAATTAACTTCGAGGAGTTCAAAAAGAGCATCAAGAGCACTTTGAGCAGCTCAACTAGTCACTCTTCTCAAAACTACTTCACGGTACGCATATGGATCATAATTTACTTAGGAAAAAGCTAACATAGTCAACTAAACATCCACCCAAACTGTCACCCCCCTCCCAGAAGTTTTAGATGCAATGGAATGAAAGCTCCCCTAAAATTTGACAAAGAATTGAATTGAGTATTAAATAAGCTATTCAATTAGTGTAAAGCATAAAGTTGATATTTAATAACTCAATAATTGCCAAAAACTTCGGTAGAAAAAAAAACAAAAACTACTTCAACATAAAAAGCTACTTTCATGGTATTAAATCGCATTTTTGGATCTTAAAATGAGTAGCTGAGTATAGTATATACACGTTTAAATGCATTGTGGTTTTTCCGACTTAGAAGCCAGTTGACTTTTGAAAACTACAGTTACTGCACAAAAACTTTTAATTCAAACCAATAAAATGAACGGAATTTTTAAAAACGTTTATGCCGTTTTCTCTTTTCCATTTTTTGATTCAAGGATTCCATTTTGGCATATGCTGGCTGAAAGATCTAACCAGATGTAAAAAAAATCTAGAAAGATCTAGCCAGTGTTCGAAAAGATCTAGCCAGATCAAAATTTGAAAAAAAAGTGTTCTCAAGACGTTGTTAAGCTAATCATAATTGAAGCTAAACAATTCTGACTATCTGGGTCTTGAAACTGTTCATCAGAAAACCAAGGAAAAAGTCAGCATATAAATTTCACTTAATAATGAAAACATCAAATGAAAAATATTCAGAAACAAAGTAAAAAATAACTCTGATTTTAGTAATTTAGTATAGAGATTTTTAGAATTTTCCGATAACTTTCGACAAAAGTTTCTAATTGTGATCTGGCTTAACCATTTGACCCTTGAGTCAATCGTGGATCTCGAATTTTTATACAGTAAACGAAAAAAAAACCATGAAAAATACTTTTCGTTCAGTTCATTGGTTGAAAACTATGAGTTGCAGCTTCTGTTGCTGATAACAAATGGTTTACGAAGTTTTAAATGAAAGTTATGACAATCCAGAAAAAGTTTAATTAGCAAACGTTGTTTTTTACTGGTGGTTTTTAAGGAGTCAGATGGCCAACACTTATCTTTTTTTTGCAGTTTTGTGTTTAGTTATCTTCATTCTATTGCAATTTCCGATCTTAAAAATTATTTCTGACAATTTTTTGTACTTAAAAAAACATTTGCCATTGAATTAGTTGAAGAGCATGTAGAGAAAAAATTAACAACTTGCTTATTTTTCAAAAAGTTTTTCAGCCAATTTATGTAGTTACCGAAGCTGAATTTCAATAATTTTCAATTTTTCAAACATAATTTAAAATTAGTTCATTTTTATTTGAATTTATTGCAACTACTAGTGAAATCGGAGAACTCAGCACAGGGAAACTCTTGCAACTGTAGACTGTCCAATTGACAAAAAAAAAAATAGAAGGGCTACTACAGTGGTAAAACCTAATGCATCACTTTAACTATTACATCAATGAATACATCCCTCATGATGAATTTCCTCGTCTATAAAGGGCGATTAAGCATATTTAATTGCATTAAAAGATCTTCGCCAAACTCACTGAATAGCTCTGTTCGGGTTTCGCTTCTTAAAAGTTGAAAACTATCAGTAATTTTATTTGCATCTCCAGTTTGGTTTGCGACTGACAAACAATGTAAGCGAATAGAAAAATTCCAACGACGATGAAAAAATGGTGTTACCAAAAACATGAATTGAATGACGAGGATTATGCTTTTTTCTTGAATAAAAGCAAGCTGTTGCAAATTTCATTGACGTTATTTAGTTTTGCTGAATAACATTCTTAAAAACGAGTTGTCGATAAATTTTTTTGATTTTTGGACAATCGACAATGGCCCTGATTCAAATCGAACGGGAAACAAAACGTTTTTGAGAATGCCAATGAAAACACGGAGCAAATTTTGTGAATCTTTTTATCGTGTCGCAGAAATCTCCAGCACCTTCGCGAGATTGAACAGTTTGCTTGGCTATGATTTTTTTTCAATACCCTGTAATCTTTAGAAAGAATTTGAACCTCTCATTGGTTGACAAACTGCAAACATATAAATACCCAATTTATCCACAGTCATGGTTTTTAAGTTTATATTACTAACTTGTTATCATTGACTAAGAGCAACTAATCCCCGCCTTGCGGGTTTAATTCAATCTTAATATGATTATTAATTTTATCACAAGCTGTTTTTTACCCTGTAAATTTTCATCTTTTCAAAAATGGGGTTGTGGCTCAAAAATGTCTCTGCTGGCAAATTGTCTCTGCTGGCTAATGGTCTAAAAAAGGAGGACAAAAAGTTCAAATAGCTGGACCGTCCATTGAAAAGCTAAGGAACTACGGTAGACCCCCGCAAAAAGTTCTCTCAAAAAACAGAAACAGAGAATACCGTCAAAACTTTTTTTTTGCCTATTCAAAGACTCGTTCAATGGTTGGTTAAAGGAAAAAACCGATGTATTTAAAGGTCTCCCCCTTTTAAGAAAGGAGGAGATTGTTAAGTAGAATAAAACATTCGAAGTTTCGACTAATCAGAATGCAGCAAAGTTAGAATTTGCAATAGACAGCTACGTGCTAATTTACTGTATTTATTTAGAGGTAGACCCCCGCAAAAATATCTCTAAAAAACAGAAACAGAGAATACCGTAAAAACCTTTGTTGGCCTATTCAGAGACTCGTTCAATGGTTGGTTAAAGGAAAAAACCGATGTACTTAAAGGTCTCCCCCTTTTAAGAAAGGAGGAGATTGTTAAGTAGAATAAAACATTCGAAGTTTCGACTAATCAGAATGCAGCAAAATTAGAATTCGCAATAGACAACTACGTGCTATTTTACTGTATTTATTTAGAGGCAGACCCCCGCAAAAATATCTCTAGAAAACAGAAACAGAGAATACCGTAAAAACCTTTGTTGACCTATTCAGAGACTCGTTCAATGGTTGGTTAAAGGAAAAAACCGATGTACTTAAAGGTCTCCCCCTTTTAAGAAAGGAGGAGATTGTTAAGTAGATTAAAACACTCGAAGTTTCGACTAATCAGAATGCAGCAAAATTAGAATTCGCAATAGAAAGCTACGTGCTAATTTACTGTATTTATTTAGAGGTGGACACCCGCAAAAATTCTCTCAAAAAACAGAAACAGAGAATACCGTAAAAACTTTTTTTGGCCTATTCAGAGACTCGTTCAATTGTTGGTTAAAGGAAAAAACCGATGTACTTAAAGGTCTCCCCCTTTTAAGAAAGGAGGAGATTGTTAAGTAGATTAAAACACTCGAAGTTTCGACTAATCAGAATGCAGCAAAATTAGAATTCGCAATAGAAAGCTACGTGCTAGTTTACTGTATTTATTTAGATGTGGGATTGTTAAGAGATCCGAAAAAAAAACAATAATGTTCCATGCGTCTAAAATACTCTCCCATTATTATGATGCAATCAATTTTGTTTTGTTTTCAACCAAAGATATCATTAAGTTCCAATATTTTTCATCCAATATTGACCTCTTGTTTTTCGGTCAGACATAACACCGCAAGATGAATAACTGAGACGAAACACAAAATTTGTTTCACGACATCGCGTGTAAACAGATCTTTTCAAATTGTCTTGAACATTTTATGTTTCAGAGCGCGCACACGTATAAAACTACAAAAAAACATCATCAAAAAATTGTCAACATTTCAAACTTGATATCCGCTGTTAATTTTGAGCCATGAGTGTAGTTAACAAGATCCGACTGAAAGAGCCAACATCTAAATACTGCATGGGTTACCCGGCTGCCCACCATCTAGAAGATAATGCGCAACCTTTTGTTTCAGAAGCTGCTGTTTGCTTTCAAATATTTCGATACGGACAAAGACGGTTTCCTGACTGTGGACGAACTCCGCCAGATTTGTGCGGAGCTGGGCGATGACCAATTGCAGGAGGCGGAAGTGCACGCGTTCCTCCAGATTGCAGACAAAGACAACAACCACAAACTGGATGTGGGCGAATTGATAGCAGCGCTTGAACAGTACCAGTACACTTCAGCTGGAGGACAAAACTACAGCTATTCATCACAATAGAATATTATTAAAAATGGGGGCGGGAAATTAGACAGCAAGGAAATTAGACGTTTTTAACAAATGAATTGGAATTTAGACGATAATTGCTCTAACAAAGCTAGCATTTTGGGCGAAAAGCAAAGGGCCAACAAAATTTATTGATTAAAAAAAATTGATTTATTTAGTCACTTCTAACTTGCTTGTCTTCTAATTTCGTAGTACCCAAATATTATGTCTGCTTAGTGGAATTATAGTAATCGATATTCCTCGTTTTCGGTATCTGAAAACCAATCAGATATATTCAGTTTAAATATTTATAATAAAATTTTTCTAAAACTACAATTCTCAAAAAGCTGCTTTGAAGTCTATTTCAAACATTGAACCAGAATATCGAGCCTAGGAAGAAACTTGCTACCCCTTGCTGAAGTTTTTTTCCACCTGGATTACAAAGAAGGGGCGAATCTGGGATTTTCTTTATGGGGGGGGGTGGTTGTGTTTTAAAAAGAATTTCTATAAATTTTTTTGGCCTTTTCTATAGGTCGACCAACTTGTTTTTCCGATATCTCTCAAATGACTACTTAGACCCTCTTTTGACAAAATTGTCCACAGCGCCGCATGCAATTTTTGACGTCGCGGTTTGACTTTTGATTTTTTTCAAGTTCAGTTCATTTCCTTTGTTAAAAGGAAAGCAATCTCCTTTATAGAACAGCAAAAAAGAACAGCAAAAGTTATTTTTTTTTAAAATCGTTTGATCAAACAGAGGTAGCGTGAAATAATTCAAAAGTGGTAACCCTTGAGCGTGAGAGAGAACTAAAACTTTCGACATATATAATCCATCAAAAGCCCAAGCATTCGCAAAATGATGAAGACTTCTTAACCTTCGCTTCTGGTGGCGGTAAATTGAAAATGAAAAACTGTCTCCTAATTGAGAAACATTTAACTTTCGAAAATTGATTTTGAAATGATTTTATGTCCAACTTCTTGGATGCTGAGTAAATTGGCAATATTTGCTCAAACTTCATATTTGGTTCGTTTATGCAAATTATTTGAAAGATATTGGGTTTGATTGAAATTGGTTTCCATATTTCTACAGAAACATATTGAAATTGAACTAAGTGTTTCTTTCTCCGAAACGATATTGAAAGTTCGCCCACAATGGGGATCTATCGGCCAAAAAAATTATCAAAAACTTTCTGAGCAGATCAAAGCCAAGGTTTTGTCTCACAGGGTTTGTAATCCCATGAAACTGTTCGAGTTTTGTTTGATAAAAGTACGTTTGAGTTTTGTTCGTATCTAAGATAACTTAAAGTATCTTTGAATTTAAAAAAAATAAAACAAAAAACAGGAATGGAGGAGTGGTTGCCTGAAACAATGTATTTTTCATGTTTTGCATAGGTAGAACAACAAAAGATCATTTGGCAACTAGATGAATGAAACATCAAGTTTGGTAGTGAAGAATTTTGGTTGCCATTGACCATTTTTGGAGCTGAACTTTGCAATCTAAAGCAAGGAAAATGCAAAAAAAAATAGCTCTAAAGAGGCAAAAACTCCATGAAAAAATACACCATGAAAAAAATTATGAAAATCAATTTTGAGGTTAAGAGTATCACGTTTGCACACTGCTCTACAACCACTTGTAATTTTACTCAAACTAGTCACCAATGAAGCAGCAAACATTCGAGCAAAAAAAACTAATTAAATGTTCCGGTTTTAGATCTCCGACCTGATTATTTGGAGTGTCACTCACGTCCTCGCATCTGCATCACAGTCGCTTGGAAGTAAATTAAGAGGCCTACTTAATGCTGTATACACCTATTTTAATCATATATTGTACTGATACCGAAGTTTTCAAAATTTAAAGAACAATGATCTTTACACGAAACGCTAGTAATTTCTCTGCTTAGGTAGGAGATCAGATATCTAATTGAAAGCGAAAACTACTACTAATTTTTTCAATTGAATTCTTTATCTAATATTTGGCTGGGAAGTTATCGAAAAATGTGAAAAAAATTCCAAAAACTATCAAAAAATCAAAAGTTTGACTTTTCCTAAATCTATCAACATTTCTCTACAGCAAGGTAAAAGCCTCTTTTGCAGCAAAAATTTTAAACTATTTTAAATAATTCAAAAAAGTATGATATCATTATTCAAAATTTTTTAGATAACAAAGTTCTAACTCTAAATGAGCGTTATGTTAACAAATTGCTACAATTCCGTTTTCGATCGATTAATCATTGATTAATCAAGGCTGCTCAACTCGTTATTTTCGCTGTAACAGTTTGCATGTGAAAAATTGTTAGAAAAGATGAGTAAAGAGTTTAAAAAATGTTGTTATCCCCGAATATGGAAATTATGACTCAAAATAAAGAATCTTGTTTCGTTCATAAACTTAAAGGTAACTATATTAGGAAACAAGGATTTGATGAAATACAAATTCAGTCTCTTATTTGTCGATTGCAAACAAAATTCAAACCCATTGGTTAATTTATACCAGATAATTGTTTGAGGATTGCGAATCTTGGCCGCAAAAATGACCTCTCAAATTCCTGTAGTTTTTAAAAAATCGCGATTTTACTGGTTTTTCAAAAAAATCTTGATACATAGAAATTTACTTTAACTTTTCTTACAAAAATGATTTGGTTAAATGCTATTAGACAATTGCTTTAGGCTTGCAAACATTGGCTGAATAAATGAAGTCTCAAATCCTCGTAATTTTCGAGATATCGCAACTTCTATAATTTTTGAAGAAAAATTTCATTAAACTTAAATTTACATTAAATTTTGCTCCTAAAAATGGTCTAACTTTTATGCATTTTTTCTATGTTGTCTAATTAAACTAGAATTTCTAATCTTTTGATATAAATTTTAAAATTTAAGTTTTGCTTAAATAAAACCATCTAAAATACTAGTGAAAGTAAGTTTTTTTGATATGCTAAATGGGTAGACTCTTAGTCGGCGATCTGTGTCCTTGTCTATCCACTCCAAAGTTTGGTACCTTTAACAATGGAATAAAATTCTTATTTGTAATAAGGCTAAATTTGTTTTATGCTGATGTTGTTTGTTGTAACTTATGGAAAAATGAATTATTCTTATTTTTCTTCTATATGAGTTCATGCATCAGATTCCGCAACGCATTGAGGAACACCAAAAATTGTATCATCATAACCCAAAAATTTATTTCAGATGGGGGGAGATCCAATTAGTTTATATATAGCCGGTTTTTTGTATTAGATATAAAAAAGTGAAATTGCGTAGACTATTAAGGTTTCAAGGGAAACAAATGTTTATATTCAGATACAAAACTAGAGAAGCATCAATGCAGGCATCTTGCTTTCTTCGAGGCAATCACTGCGCAAACAAAGCTCAAAGAAAAAAATTTGATAGAAAAATGCACTGAATTTGAAATAAATGAAACTGCTTTAGTTACAAACAGAGCCAAGAGACATTTGGAGACAGAGGCGAGGCTGTGCTTTGCAAACACAAACAATAATTGCAAAAAAGAGCTCTAACACAGTCCACACACGCAATAAATAAGAGTACATAAATAAGTAATGAGAAAAAAATTTATTGAGATTGAGAGTATCACGTTTTCACATCTGCTTTACGACCACTTGTAAGTAAACTAACACTGGTTACCAATAAAGCAGCTACATTTTCAATATTATGCAACCAAAATTCTACCAAAAGATGAAACTATTTAAATATTCCGGTTTTGATTACCCGACCTTTTAATTAGGAGTCTCACGCCCTCACATTGGCACACAGTCACTTGGAAGTAAACTAGTGGGTCAGCTAATGCCGGATTTACCTATCTGTTCTAGTATTTTTAATCAAATCTTGTTCTGATACGGATACGCTTAATTTTCAAAATTTCAAAAAATGGACTTTACGTTTAACCTAGGTGTTTTTCTGCTTAACTAGGGGATTAACCGATTATTTAAAGGAGAAAACTACTACTCCGTTTTTCAGTTGAAGGTTTCATCTCAGATTTGGCATGGTAGTTTCGAAAAAAAGTGAAAAAGATTCCAAAAATTATTCAAAAATTCAAAACAAAAGACTTTTCCAAAAACCAAATCTTTTCCCCACTAAAACATCAGCCTCAGGATTTCTAGAATGAGGAATTCCGCATCCTGATTTTTTATTTGAAGCCTGAATAACAGATTTAGCTAGTAGGTTTCGAGAACAGTGACAACTTTCCACAAAAAAACGGTAAGAGATGAAAAAGGAATGTTTCCGTAGTCTATAGCAAATTTTCTATGAAAACAGCAAGGTAGAACATATTAAACAGGAAAATCTTGGCATCATATTAATTTTGATGATCTATCAACCTCTGAATCATGAGGTTAGTTTGAAAAAAAAATCCAAAAAAAGGGTCAAAATTTCAAAAACTGGGTATTTTCTACGGCCAATTTTTTTCATAACGCAGGACATGGCCGCTAGTGCAGGGAGGATTCGTTTGGCAGAATAATTTTTGAGAAAAGTCAAAACGTTTTATAAATTAAGTAAAATGTCGAAAATGGGCTTATTTGAGGCCATAACTTTTTTCTACCGAATTTAGGGAATAGCCGCTTGCGTAGGGGAAATCCTCATAATTCGTTCTTTTGGTCGAAACCTTCATCTCAGATTGGTGAATTTAACGTTAAAGACAGAAAAATTCAAGATAAATAGGCCATTAATAATCGCCTTATTGAAAATTTCTAAGGCTGTAGCACTTGAGGTAAAATGAAAAAAGAGTAATTAATATGCAGGCAATTAGAAGAGCAGCCGTTTTTTCCATTGGCACCATTTTTGTGAAAATCGGTACATTAGTTTTTACGAAAAACTGACATTTCTGCGAAAGCGTCAAAAAAATTCCAAAGCGTCGAAACATAGCCAACTGACAGGAAAAGAGTACTGAACGCACTTAAACTGAACAAAAAGCACTGACTTGAAAAAATCTCAACTTTTGAATTTCAAAGAAAATAACAGATGCCCTTTAACTTTTTCGAATTTCCGGAACAATTTATGATTGGCATTTTTTGATAACATTAACCCAACATGAGAAAACTGGATCAAAAATAAAAATTTTAGCAGTTGAAATTCAATTGAACTCAAAAATGCATATAATTAAGTGCATTCATTCTGTAGTTATTCGAGCATTTTAAGACTTTTACCTAAAAAACCAAAAAAAAATCGCCAAAACCTATATAAGTCTTCACTACGTTCATTACTTTTAAAAACAACAAAATCCATACATTTCTCCATTACATGTGTGTTACAAACAGGATCTAACACTAGCCAAAAATAAAGCAGCAAAATATGCCACTAAATTGTTTCTTCTTAAATAAGCTTAAATATGAACAAATTGAAATATGCCAAAAGTGCCACCTAATGAGCTTTTTTAATTGCGACTTATGTTAGAAAAACCTTCGCTGGCCTAAGAAGAGTCAATAAACGCAAATAAACAGAAATTTTGAATTTTAAAAAAATATGGCCTCGAAACTGGATATTTCTGGAACAATTTATCATTGACACTTTTTTAATTAAATTAACCCAATTAAAAACACTGGATCAATAGGTTAAACTTTTATTTTGTTGGAAAATCTGAAAATTAATTTCCACTGTCGAAACTAGAATTCGATCGCTTTTTTCGTGACCTTTTTTTGTTCGAGTGGTCGATATTGCTCTCATAACGAATGAAAACGCCTTAAAAGACACCTCATTTAGTCCAAGACAACTTCCGTGATGTTTATCTCAGTTGACATAAAAAAAAATGAATACAACTTTTTTCGACATCTTGATATCTTGGAGAACTAAGCCAAGCTATCGGTAAGCTTTGATAAACTGAACTGAAATACTTGCAAAAAAAATTAAATCTGATAGGTGACCTTTTCTGATTGAAAACTGCGATTAAATACTCACTATGAACTAATACAGTTAGCCCATGACAATTATTCCAATTCAAATGGTATTTTTTATTTTTCCATTAAATGTAAAAAGTAAATCCAATTTTGAAAAAATTAGACTTTCTGAAAAAAAACATTACCTAAATAAGTCAACCTGCTCAATGTAGAATCAGTAAAGCCGAAAAACTACTTTTCATTTCTTGGTATATGATTTAAAACATTCTCCCTCTATAGATTTAACTGGCAAATAAATCTTCCCAGAGATCTACATCTAGGTTTACACTATTAAATCACCTGACTGTGCATATAAAAATAGTTTCGAATCTTCAGTGCCTGTATGATTTTTAAAAAATTTCTAGCCAAAACCTTATTGCTAGCCTAAGAAACATTTAGTTCAAAAAGCAATTTTTTTAGGATAATTTATCAACCGGATATAGTTAACCTTCCTACAAGATGTACTTGACCTTCGCTAAAACTTCAAATGACAACAATATATTAGAATTTATAAATCCATTTCAAAAATATACAAACAGTAAATCTGACAAAAATATAAGTAAGGTGATACCGAAAGTGAACTATCTATCTAACATTTGAAGTATGATATGAAGGCTGTTCATAACCTGCGCCTCAAGCTATTTTGTAACAATTAACCTGAACCTTTGAGATACACAGGAGTTAGTTAAATTGGAAGTTTGTTAAATTGCGGAGCTGATATAAATGGTGACAAGTTTTTAGTTGAAGGGTTTAACTTGACGAGGCGCTGGTTATAAAGATGACATATATTACGTCTACTCGTAAATAAGTTCTATTTTGGCTTAGTCGTCAGTGGAATCTTCATAGCGTGATCTAGCAATTTCTGGAGAGTGAAATTTTCCGTCACGACACATCCTTTGTAGCCTTGCACTATAGCACCCTTAACGTTGTTTGGGTCATCATCCAGTAAAAAGACGTTTGGGTTCGTTACCGAAAATCCTTCAAAATTGGATCTATTCACCTTTTGACTCAAATTGGATTTAAAGAATAACCTAGAAAAGATAAAATTGCAGAAAACTAAATTATAACTAGCTTTTCATTATTTTTGACGCTCATTTTGGGAAAGTCATTTTTTCTGTCGAAAAGCGTGCAACAAAAAAATCTTCTGATGGTCAGCTGGCTTTTTAGGAGCCTATTCATTTTCCGATCCTTCAATTTTTTAGATTAAAAATGGTCCATCTAAAACTATTTTTTTAAAATTATTTTTCAAAAGCTAAGAAAAACCCACGAAATTTTACGTATTATCTGAATTGATATAACTGTTTCGCAGGTTAAACATCATCAAGTAAATAGATCCGACCTTCGGTTGCAACAATATGGTCCATAGCTAGACTAAGATGACAATTTTTGCCCATAGTGGCTTGATTCATAGTGAAATAAGGTACGCATTGTAGCCCTGTATTAGCGCAAATAGCGATCTTGTTGAGTTTCGCCGTGAAATTTGGAAAAGCTTTCTTCAAAACGTTTCTGATTAGAAGAGGTTGTGATGAAAATGTAACGACGGCCATGCAAACATCACTGCGTTTAAGGACATTTTGAATCAGAGCTCTGAGAAACATTACTCGTTTAGAAGTGTTACATTTAGGTAAAAAATTTGCGTAGCGTAAATCATACATGGAAGCCAGCTAAACTGCATAGTACCTCCATCTGATTTTCGGTTAAATAACAGTTATCAGAAAATTATAATTGTCAGTTCAAAAATGAGATAAAACTTCATTACCGAGAGTTGATTAGCAAAAACTCGTTTCCATAGTTGTTCCGCCCACTTCACCAAGTGGGAAGGACTATGGCATAGGGTGGGATTTTGGCACAATCTTAAAAATCTCAAAGAATGCTTGTAAGTGTCAAGTGTGGTCATGACCTTTCATTCGTGCATCAGATTCCGAAAAGAAACAAATACATTTTTCCGTTTTTCAGTCTGAATTTCCAGTCCTATTATTTCGCAATTTATTATATATTGCAAACGCTAATTGACCATTTCCTTCCTCTCTCATAAGCTAAAAAAACCGAAATGTTGGAAAAGAAAAGAAAACGCGAAACTCTTCACATTTTTTCCCCAATTTTCAAACTTCGTTGCTACTTGCCCAGCAACCAGCTATCCTTGTCATTTCATATATTGCAGAATGAAAAATAATTTGATATTTAGAAGCCAGAAAAGATGAAAATCATGTGAGGAAATGCAAAGGGTAAACTTTGATTTAATCGTCACAAAACTGACAAAAACGAAGCCTAAATAGAAAAAAAAATGACAAATCGCTGTGACACCGAAATTGTACACATCTAAACAAGTAATGGACCTAGCCCATGGCTGAATGTATGGCACCAGGTTCTCTGCAGATCCCATCCATGCGCCCTGAGTGTGTATGCCGACGATGGTGAGATCGAAGTCAAAAGCAAACACTTTCACTTTCCTAGCAACACAACAATCTATTATTTGTGTGGCCAAGTCATTATCCGACTGGCTCATCGAAACCTGAAAGACACATTCTATCACATTATAAGCATATCACTTAATCATCGCCACTTTGATATTTACGTCAACAGCAAACTCATATACACGCAACTGAATTCAACGAATTAGTCCGAAAGCTTAAACAGATTGAGCTTTTCAGTATAAAAACCCTGAGTGGTTCGAATGGCCTTTTAACTACTTTACATAAAACTCTTGACTCAGTCGAAACGAAAACATGAGCAAAAAAGGTACTTCCAAAATGCAAGAAATTGAAAAATTAAGTCTATAATCTTTGAAAAAAAAGAAGACCCGATTTCAACCGAGCACCTCTAGTTGATGCAGCAGTCGTCTTCCAGTTTGAGCGAACTGTCCTAGCTGACCTAGAGAATTTTCACATCTAGAAAAAAACAGGCGCTCTAATAAAGCGTACAAAACACACTAATAAATCGCTCACCAGCGAAATCGAGTGCAAAGTTGAGCACAATCTGACCTTATATTTTGAGCACAAATTGATCTTATATATTGAGTATGTGTTCTTAGAGATATCTCCTTTTAGAATTGTTCTCTGAGTAAAAACAAACTAACTTATTATTCACGCGATTACACAACGATATGTCTTAAGATACCCACAGCTTTCCTTGATAGCCAACGCAGGACATAAAAACAGAAGTTCAGACACTCCTTATACCACAAAAGGTTTTGGATGATATTATAGTAGCACCATCTACACATCATTTACTTTGTGGTGACTTTAACATTAATGTTTTAAGAAAAAGTAAACGACTCTCTGAACTTATAAGTATATTAAATGGAAACGATCTTTTCCTACAAAATGGAAATCAAGCAACCAGAGAAACTAAGACCAGTAAGACTTGTATAGATCTGTTTTTTTTTCAATGTAAAAAAACAGTAACCATCTTCAAAACATCGGTAACTGATCATTATGGACTAATTTTAAACGCAACATCACAAACATGCAAAAATGAATCTTTTATTACCAAAACCGACCATGGTACAAACTTGAATCATGGAAACTTTTCTGAAAGAACTAAATGTGTCTCTATATGAAAATTTATTTGATGCTGAAGCAAAAATTAGCCAATTTAATTGCGATGAGCTTTTTTTATTGTTGAACGAAAAGCTCAGAATTAACATTGAATCATTTTACCAGAAAAAAACATCAATTAGAAACACTTCGAAGCACTGGGTTGACAATGAATTGAAAAATGCAGCATCGAAAAAACACCGGTTTAAGAATTTTTTTAAAAAAACTGGAACCACTAAAGCCAGAAGTAAATTTGAATCTCAAAGCAAATTAGTTCGCAAAATGCTGAGTCAGAAAAAAAAGCATTTTATCAAAACAAATTACGATTGGAATCGAACAACAGCAGCAGAGAATTTTTCCGTCTGTATAATGACCTAACATGTGCTACTAAAAACAACGACCAGGAAGAAAAAACATAAATGTTGATGAATTTAACGACTTCTTGGCAAATATTGGAGAATAACTGGCGCGGAATTTTAATACTTTAAAAGAAGTAAAAGTCAGAAATCAAATTAACTCAATGTTTTTAGCTGATATAACGCGAAGTGAAATTTCAAATATAATCAAATCGCTAAAAACTTAGTTTAGTTTGGATACATATGGACTTAATCACTATTACTTGAAAAAAAAAATGTCCCGTTTCGCTTCCAGTTTTGACAAAACGTTTACAAAAATGCTTGGATAGACACGTTTTTCCAGACAGTTTAAAACTGCCAAAGTTAAACCTCTTTTCCAAGAAGGCAATGATCTAGACTCATTAAATTACAGGCCAATTTCTCTTTTACCAGTTGTAGGTAAAATTTTTGAGCGGGTCAATTAAAACAGAATGAACCAATATCTCACTAAGTATCAGTTACTACAAAATTGCCAGTTTGGGTTCAGATCAAAAAAGAGAACAATTGATGCTTCGATAACCCTAATAGAAGAAGTGCGTCAAGATTGGAATTTTAATACCACGAAGACACAGTGCAGATTCATTGACCTTATAAAAGCCTTTGATACAGTTGACCACATTCTTTTACTTAGAAATGTGACGCATATGGTTTTCGGGGACCTGTTTTTCATCTTCTAAAATCTTATTTGAAAAACCGACAACAATACGTTGCCACTAAAACCAAACGCTCTCAAATTAAAAATGTGAATTATGGAGTACCACAGGGATCCATACTAGGCCCGCTTCTTTTCATCATTTATATAAATGATATTGAGCTAAATGAAAATAGTGAAAAAAATCAGATTTTATATGCAGACGACAGTGTCATAATAACAATAGCTAGAAGCAGTGACTTAACCGGTAAATACCAAGAAGCGTTGGACAAAACAGCAAGTTGACTAGAAAAAAAAACAAAGCTGACTTTAAATGAAGATAAAAACAAAAACAATGATACTATCTAAGAAGAGAAGCGGTAAATCAGATGTCAAAATGAATGGAATAAATATTGAAGAAAAACAATCGTTCCGATACTTAGGTGTTCAAATTGACTCTAACCTTTCCTTTACTGACCATATTACAAAAATTTAAAATAAATTGTCGAGGTTTTCTATTGCAGGTTGAGGAAAGTTTTAGGTAGAGATCAACTATTGAAAGCAAATAACGCTTATGTGAAACCCATTTTACAGTACGGGGTTTTGGCTGCGTCAACAGATGAAACGAAATTAGAAACAATTGAACTTAAAATTAAACGGCTTATAAAAATTATTTGTTTTAAGAGAAGAAATGAAAGCATCGAACAGACAAAAACGCAAAATATACTTCGTAAAGGAATTACATACCTATAAGTTACTATGTAAGGTTTTGAGAAAAGAGTGCATATCGGCCTTTGTCCAGGAAACTGTAACTGAGACAAATTTGAATACAATTTTGAATAAGAGAGTTTTAGCTAGGCAGATACCTGTGCAATCAAAGGGTAATCAAAAAACTTCTGTAAAAGTTAGAATTAGAAAACTTTCCAACTTTGTTCTAAAATACTACCCAGATTTTGTAACTAAGATTCAGAGCTGCACACAATGTCAATTACAAACTTTTCAACCATGAGTTTTTGGACAGTTTTATTCTAGGAAATTATCAACTGTTTAACTCATTTTTGAGTAGAATTGGTATTTTAAAAAAAGATTTGCTGTCAAGGGTAGGTATACTGCTAAAAATTTCCCTTTTTTCGCTTCAAAAAAATTTTTTTTTTCTCTCCAAATCATTAAATCTTTTTTTTTATTTCTCGATTAACTATCGATATTAAAAAATAGCAGAAGTCATAGCAGGATCAGAGGCGCCTGAAAACGGGCTGCATAGTTCCACGGCGTTCTCGCAATGAGATTTCGTTTGGTTGTAATGTAGTAACTTTTGCAATGAATGGAATCTAATTTGCAAATAATTTTTCATGATTATTATTAAATTGCAGACGACATGGATATTCTCAAGTAGCCCAAGAAAAAAACTGAAAATGGGATCAATCGAAAAATTGTCATTCCTCTGGGAATTCTGAAAATTAAAATCCGCCTGCGAATTAAAAATCATTTCGTTTTTTTTTGCACTTTTGTTTTTGGAGAGCATAATTTGCCTCCCTTTCAGCAGAGAATTAATTTGAATCGAACTTGACCAGATCCCGAAAATCACACCGTAAAAATTGCATTTGAGAGTGAATTAATATAAGACTTTCTTAAATAAATCTCTTCGTTCATTACCACTTAAGTTATCTCAAAAACGAAGATGGAGTCATGTTAAAGCTTTCTGCTGTACGCTTACTTTGAAGATCTTCGAAATCAAATGGCTTTTTAGATTGAAAGTTCAACATTTCAAACATGAGATTTTTCATGTGTTCACAAATTTATAGATACTTAAACTCATGCAAGTTGAAAAAAGCTTCGTGGAATTTTATAATTTACAACAAGGATTTCCGATTTCCCAACTTCAAACAGGCCAATCTTAAGCAAAGATGAACAAGAAAAGCCGGTAACTGTGCAAGTAGCATAAACTGTTCCGACCATTGTCATAAAATACAAAAAGATTTTTTTTTTTTCAAATTAGTGTCGTTTTTTTTCTGTGAGGTGGGTGTGATCTGAACAAAAAGTAGAACTTGGGAAACATTGATAGGCATAGTAAAACTGGCAAACAAGACAACAATTTTGTAAACAAAAGAAACAAAAAATCACCAAATTTAAAAAAAAAATCAGCTCGATTGCTTTATTTGTTCGAATTTGGGCTAAGAATCAAAAATTTCCCAGGAGCGAAGCTGATATTTGCACCATTTGCACTAAAAAAATGAACGACTATCATTGAAATTGGAAAAAAAATACAAAATTGGAAAAAAAACTTCAACAAATCAATTTTATCAAAACTTTTTTTTTAATTGCAAAAAATGCCAAAATATCCGGAAAAAATTACTTTTTCCATTTGAAACTTTTGGAACGCTAGAAAGAAGACGAACTTTAAAAAATCCTTTCTACGGGAACTAAGACGAAGAAAAATAAGAAGATGGACAATACTCTAAGAGAGCCGAAAAATATAAATTTGCAAAAAATGGGTCCCAAAAAGAATCAAACCCCCGGGCGCTGTCGTCTCAAAAATTGATGTTTCAGCAACCTAGAGCAAAGCTGAAACTTCAACAAATTTGGACTACGTGATTTAAGCCAAAAATAAACAAAATCTAGTTTGGAAAAAATTGGTCCCGGACGGATACGAACTAAAAGCATTTGCCGTCCCAAGCAGGTGTGTTACCTCTATGCCAGATGGTTGAATTAATTTATAATAATGCCTTCGTAGACAAAACAGTCAAGTCAAAATGCCACAACAAAGCTTCATGGAAAAAAAACGAAAAATTTGGCAATTAAAACATTGCGCTGTGCCATCACCTTGAATGGATGCAAAATGAAATTGCTCAAAAAATTATGCCGTTGAGCAGCTTTAAAATTTATTTTGCAACTGATAGTTTTAGTGTGCAGAGGAACAAAAAAATCCATGAAATATAGTTACAGTTACTTTCTTCGAAATTAA